CAAATTGTGCCGTCGCAAATGCTCTACTTTTTTGAGACGACAAATGGTGCCGTCGCAAATACTCTACTTTTTTGAGACGGCATTTTTTGCCGTCGCAAAAAATGACTTTCGTGTTTTTTTTTTTAGTGAATATTTTTAAATTTTTAAATAAAAAAAAAAATCAATCAAACAAACAAACAAAAGCTTAAAATAGTGAAATGGAAAAAAAAAACCCAAACTTTTTAAGTCTAATCTAAGTCTAAACAATTGAACACATTTTATGCTTCGCAATTTTTATTTTAAAAATTAATAAATATATAAAAATACAAAAAAAAAATGTATTGAATTATTGTAGTTTTGGTATTTAGTGAATTTTTAAAAGATTGTTTTTATAATTTTTTTAATTTTTAGGTGTTTTTATGTTAGGTGTGCTTAAAAATTAAAAAAAAATACTTAAAATATTAAAAAAATTCAATAAAAACAATATAACACGGAAAATAAGAAAGTATAATTTTCTCAAAAGAGTTTTGGAAAACTCTAACCTAGTATAGTGATTTGTGGTTTTGAGACAACTTCATATATATATAGTCACAAAATGGTTTGAATAAATTCTAGTACTTTTTTCTGTCGCAAAAAAATTAAAAAAAACAATGTCGTCTTACTCTTTTGATATAACATTTCTCTTTTCATTCATTTTTTCATCTTCCTGTCTCTCTGTCGCTATCTCTCTCTCTTCTCTTTATCTCTTTCACTCATCACTCTTCTTTCTTTGTCTGTCTGTTTCTCTCTCTCATTTTCTCTCTGTGTCTCTCGCCTATCTCTCTTCTTTCTATCTCTCACATCTGTTTTCTCTCTCTGTCTCTCTCGCCCGTCTCTCTTCTCTCTATCTCTCTCATTTCTTTTCTCTCTCTCTTATCTTTCTATCTCTCATTATCTCTCGCGCTCATTTCTCTTCTCTCTCTGTCTTTATCTTTTTCTGTGTCTCTCTCTCGCTCATCTCTTTTCGTTCTATATGTCTCTCTTTTTGTCTATCTCTCGTTCATCTCTTGTTTCTCTCTCTTTTTCTATTTCTCCATCTATCTCTCTCTATCTCTTTTTCTGTCTATCTCTCTCTTTCTCCCTGTCTCTCTCTCACTCATCACTCTTCTCTCTCTCTCTCGTCTACTTGTCTATTTGTCTATTTCTCCATCACTATGTTCTCATTGCTCACTCTCTTACTCCCATCTTCTCTATTTATCGAGCTCCTTCTCGATTTATCGATCCACTATAAACGACGTCGCCTTACTCTTTTGAACATTTCTCTTTTCACCAATTTTTTCATCTTTCTATCTCTCTATCTCTATCTCTCTTTTCTTTCCCTCTCTTACTCATCACTATTCTCTGTCTGTTTGTCTCTCCCTTTCTCTATGTGTCTTTGTCTCTCTTCTCTGTCTGTCTGTCTGTCTCTCTCTCTCACTCATCACTCTTCTCTGTCTGTCCGTCTCTCTCCTTCTCTTTGTGTCTTTGTCTCTCTTCTCTTTTTCTCTCTCACTCATCACTCTTTTCTGTCTGTCTGTCTGTCTGTTTGTCTCTCTCTTTTTCTCTGTGTCTCTCGTCTATCTCTCTTCTCTCTATCTCTTTTTTTTTCTCTCTCTTTCTCTCTCTTTGTGTCTCTTACTCATCTCTTTCTCTCACCACTCATCTCCTCTACCACATTCACCACTACTGCAAACGCCATTTCACTACCACCACTACTACCACGGTCGCCATTTCACCTTTACAACTACCATTACTACTACCATCGCCACCACTCCACTACCACCACTACCACTATTGTCACTACTACTACAATCATTACCTCTCTTTCACCCCTGCCACTCCATCTACTCTACCACTACCACAACTTCATCACTAATCTCCTTCGCCATCACCACCACCACCACCACCATCGTCTCTTATCCACCATCTTCACCACTACTGCCGCTTCCTCTCCTCTACCACAAAATATTACCTCTATTCTCTCTCTCACTTATCACTCTTCTCTGTCTATCAGTCTTTGTCTCTGTCTCTTTCTCTTTCTCTCTTTCTCTCTTTCTCTCTCGCTCATCTCTCTTATCTCTATCTCTCTCATCTCTCTATCTCTCTTCTCTCTCGCTCATTTATCTTCTCTTTATCTCTCTCTCTCTGTCTCTCTCGCTCATCTTTCTTCTCTCTTCGTCTCTCTCTTTTTCTATGTCTTTCTTTCAATCATCTCTTTTCGCTCTATTTCTCTTTCTCTTTGTCTATCTCTCGCTCATCTCTTATTTCTCTCTATTTTTCTATATGTCTCTCTCTCTCTATCTCTTTCTCTCTCTGTCTCCCTGTCTCTCTCTCTCTCTATATATATATATCTCTTTCTCTCTTTGTCTCTCTCTCACTTATCACTCTTCTCTCTCTCTTTCTCTCTCTGTGTCGGTTTGTCTATCTCTCGCTCTTCTCTCTCTCTACTACTTAGGAATGGCAATGGGGCGGGGCGAGGCCGGGGATCACACTCCCCGTCCCCGATCCCCAACAGAGAAGTTATTACCGTCCCCATCCCCGTCCCCTAATGGGGATCGGGTTTCCCCGACCCCGATATTTCCCCGGCCAAAAAAAAAAATAAATAAAAAATAAAAATGAAATCAACATCAACATAGATCATGATGATCTAAATCCGACACACAAATCCAAAACACACTATTCAACAAATTCAACACACAGATCCAAAAAAAAATTATAGATCTACTAAACATTTATTTATATATAAAGATCCAGAAAAAAACATTTAGATATGTTTAAAAAAAAAAAATAGATCTGAATCCATATATATAAAGATCTATATCTATAAAAAAAAACATAGATTTGTTGAAAGGATTTCAAAAAAAAATCCAGTTGGTTAGTGTAGGCATAAAATTGATCGGTCCAATTGGTTAGTGTAGGCATAAAAAAAATCTCAGGATGGACCATAGATTTGTTGAAAGGATTTCAAAAACATAGATTTCAAAAAAAAATCATAGATCTGTTAAAATAATCATAATATATATATATATATATATATGGATGAAAGGATTGTAAGTTGTAACAGAGGCTTGCTTCAGATCTGCTTGCTTCAGATGCTTCTTCAATGGCTTGCTTCAGATGCTTCTTCAATGGCTTGTAAGTTGTAACAGAGGAACTTTGAGTGAGAGGGAGAGAGAGAGATGAGATACGGTGGGTGAGTGAGAGGGAGAGAGAGATGAGAGACGGTGAGCACGACAGAGAGATCAGAGACGGTGAGTGAGTGAGTGAGTGAGTGCGAGGGAGAAAGAGATGGGAGGGAAGAGAGAGAGGGAGATTAGATGTGAAATGAAAAACAAATGAAATAAAAGAGAGAGAGAGTAGATAAATAAATAAAGATGAGAATAAAAAGTAATATATCAAATGAATAAAGATAGAGATAAGAATAAAAAAGTATTATATAATACATATATCATCCGGGGGACAAAACGGGGTGGGGCTCGGGGCCGGGGCCGGGGCCGGGCCGGGACTGAAATATGTATCCCTGTTCCCGGCCCGAAAATCATTCGGGGATTTATTTTTTATCACATCCCCGGCCCATCGGGGGTATTTTTCGGGAATAACCGTTATATTCGAGATCGGGGGTCGGGTCCCATCAGGCCGGTTTCAGATTGCCATCCCTACTACTACTACCATTACCTCTCTTCTAGCCATCGCTATTCTATCTCCTCTACCGCTACCCACAACTACACCACTTATCTCTTTTTACCATCACTTAACAAAAAAAAAAAAAGGGTCGCAAAAAAATATTTTTTCATTAGCCCAAAAAATTAACTTTGTTTTAATGGAAAATATTATCCCTACTTTTACCAATAAAAAAATAATAATAATTTTGTATTCTTTAAAATAAATATGAAACAAATAAATTTTCAACCTTACTAAATGAAAAATAAAAATAAAAATTCATTAACTATAAACAAATTATTTTAATAAAAAATAATTGCAAAAAAAAAAATCGTTTTATTATTTAAATATTCATTTGTAATGAAAATTAGAAAAAAAAAAATTCAAAAAAATTTTCCATTCTCCCCCCTTCCTTTTCCATTCCTGCTCGGGTTCCCCACACCCAAACCCAAATTCCCCAATCTCAAAAATCCTTAATTTCTTCTCCCCTACTCCATTCCCGCTCGGGTTTCCCCCTACCCAAACCCAAACCCAAAATCTCCAATCTCTTGAACCAAAATCCCCAATCTCAAAATCCCTAATCTCTTCTTACGTCTCTCTCTCTCTCTCTCTCTCTCTCTCTCTCTCTCTCTCTTCTCCTGTCTTAATTTGTTTCAGATGCTGATTCGGATGATTCACGGTCGAGAAGAAAGAGGAAGAGCAGGAGTTCTAGGTGTAGAAGTAGGAAATCGGAATTAGTCAGTGATAGTGAATCGGATGAGTTGAGCGAAGACGTTCACAACGGCCTTCAAGACGAGCCATGGGAAAAACGAACTCTCCACCTCCTTTACAACTCCAAGATCGATCAAGGTCTCTCTCTCTCTCTCTCTCTCTCTCTCTCTCAATTCTTATTGATTCATTACCGTGACGTGTTCTTTGATTATCACAAATTTTTCAATTGCTAAAGTTCAAAAAAGTGGACGAAAAAAGCACAAAGTGCGCTGGATATCGAAGAGAGCTATGGCAATTCCTCAAGTCATCATCGAACTTTAAGACCAAGCCCTAAGAGAATCTACTCTCCGATGTCTTAGTACTTTCCTTCTCGAGGTCCATTCTAATCTCAAAACCTTCATGTATAATTTTCTATTCTATGATTAATTTATTTCTTTCTTGGGTTTCTTGTTAATCAACCTATCAGTTTGGATTCTTTTCTTATTATTGGTTTCTTTCTGAATTTGGGCAGTACCAAATACAAGTATGAATGATTTTTTTGATGTTAGGGGCATTTTGTATTTTTGATATTAGGGGCATTTTGTATTTTTGAAAATGCTTTAAGGGTGTCTAAATTAACATTTCTTCTGACCATGTATACTTTATTCAGAGTGACTGAGGAAGTTGTGAATGAAGGTGAAAAAAGTGTGGCTTCTGAGAAGCTGGCTGGAGAGGAAGAAGCAACAGATGTTAACAAGGAGAATCCTGCAAATGAGGCTGCTGAAGAAAAAGAACCCGAGGAGAAGGTGAATATCTTTTATTTTTATATTTTAGATATATTGATAATCCCAAAATTCACCTTCTCATGGTTGATATATTGATAATCCCAAAATTCACCTTCTTATGGTTAAGTTCTGAAGTTTCAACAAAGAAAAATGGACATTAAGCAAGTTGATGGCAGGTTAGACTGAGGTTACGTGTTGATAAGAAAATGCCTTTTCAGATCACTTTTGGTCTGCCAACAGCTTGGTTTTCTAAGCAAATACAATGCAAAATATATTGCATTCAGCATTTTGGAATTTATTTTCTTCAGAATTGTCCATATATGGGTCTTTTTTGTTTTGACTTCTTTGGTTTTTCCTTCCCCTTTTGGTAGAATTTTATTTTATTTTTAACTAATTGATAGCATGTTTTCTAGTATAATAACATGATCGTGCTCTTCAACTTCTTCATGTTTAAACCTTATAAACTCTTGCAACTTGGACTTCTTGAGTATTTCTTCAAATAAAAGATGGGCACAATATTATATACTCATGCTGATTAATGCTTGTTATGTTTTGATGAAAATGATACAAAAAGGAAAGAGGAGAAACAGAGATGGAAAGAATAGAATAGAGAAGATGAGTAGAGAAGTAAATCATAGAAGAGAATGGAGTAGCAAAAAAATTGGAGAAGAGGAAAGGATGGGGAGCGAGCATTACTCCTGTAATACTCAACTTAATTTGAAACTAATTTCGTTTTACGCCAATGAGTGGCTATGTGGGCTTCATAAAATGCTAGGAACACAATTGCCCACTAAAACAAACACAATAATCTTGCAACCAAAATTCTGTCACTTAAGCCTCTAAAAGCACTACTAAAATGAAGAAAAAAGCAATTTTTTTTGAGATACTCATGATAATAATACTTAGGAAAATGATATTAACTCACATCACACTCTTTTGGTCTTTGCCTCCAATTTTTCATCGTCTTTACTCTCATGAGGTGGAGTGTGAATATCATTTCCTAAAATATATCAATCAAAATTTTATTTTTTTAAGTTTCTTATCATCTTGGCTGTAGCAGAACCTTTTCAATAGTGCTATCCTAAATGTCTGTGTAGGAATTTGAAGGATTGATTGATAATGATTACTCTATTATGATAACAAAAAACTTTGAGGAATTCAAAAGTCAGGACGCAGTTCATCTGTGTAATTAAGCATGATAATGGTATTTTTTATGCATCTCTAAATATTCTTATGGTAATTGTCCTGAAAACAATACATGAGATGACACTTGAAGCGTATGAGAAGGTGCTGGAAGAGAAGAGGAAGGCACTGCTGGCCCTTAAAACTGAGGAAAGGAAGGTGGCTGTTGACAAAGAACTAGCATCCATGCAACAACTCTCAAGCAAGAAGGACAATAACGACATCTTTGTTAAATTGGTGAAATCCGTTGACACTACTTGAATTTTTCTTTTCATAAACTCACAACTATATTAATTATGAGTTACATATGATGTTTTATATAGGGTTCTGACAAGGATAAGCGAAAAGAATTGGCTGAAAATGAAGAGAAATCCAAAAAGGTACAATGGTTTGCCTGAACTTTTCAAAGACATAGTTAAACCTCGTGGTCAAATTTACGAGCCCTGCACTCCTACTTACTATTGACACTTTTTTTTTTTTTTTTTTTTTTGTTTCTTTTCTGTTGATCTGCACATTGTTTTGTCTTTCTTTTAGTTTGCGTTGTTGATTTGGATTTTGGATCACTGTGAACTGGTAGACTCAAAACGTCTGGTGTATCTGCTCCACATAACAAAGATGTTTTATATATTGGTGTATATAGTTCAAGGGCTCACATTGAGAGTCTTAACTAGACAGTACTTGGCCAATTATTACATGGCTGATCGAGTTATCTGGACATGGCTTGCGAAAAGATTTCTTTCATCCATTGCAAGATATTTAGTGAACTGCTGTTGCCCTTTTCTTGGGGTTTTCAAAGTTTGCCTAAATGCAGTCCAAATTCCTGAATTGTTGGAAGATAATTAAATAATGGTCCCACTAACGATATCCGATGGATGTTTGTTAAGGACCAAATAATGTCAACAAATAATAAAAATCATATACACATTTCACATATTCCTATACACGTTTATTTACACTTTTCACCTATTTCAACACATTTTATATAGGATATAGTCAATGATTTTACGATTTCATGCATATTGCTTTCCTTACCCTGAAATTTGTCGTCAATACTCATGTATTGCTCAGATACTTATCCTTTTGGTGGACGTAAAATGCGTGGTGTTTTCAAATTTTGGGTTAACTGATTCTTGATTCACTTGTTGCAGTCTATCAGCATTAACGAATTCTTAAAGCCCGCTGGAGATAGGTACTACAGTCCCGGCACCCGTGGTAGGGGTGGGTGTTGACGTGAATCGAGAGGAGGTTATGGTGGATGAGGTGATTCGAGAGGAGGTTATGGTGGAGGAGGTGATTCGAGAGGAGGTTATGGTGTAGTAGGTGCCGAGTGAGATTATTACGTCATGCCCTCTTCCATCAATCTCTACTGTCCTTGTTTGACTAGAAGAATAATGGAGTTCTCTGTATCAAAAAACCAAAAAAAGTTTTTAATGCCTTAAATGTAAATTTCAGGTGTTTCTTCGTGTGTTGTTCCCATGTAACTTCCTCCCCCCATACTACTATGGTCTTTTTTTATGTTTTGAAAGTTTGGGACACATGAAATTTTAATTTATGACTTGAAATTATTGTTGCTCAGTTTTGTTTTCAATAGATGGAAGACAATTTAGGTTTTATCTTTGTTATTTTTTTCTCATTCAAGATATTTCCATTTATGCTAACAAATTTCACATTTTACCCTGTTAGTTTTGATACTTGGCAAGTACCTAGTAGTTAGTAATTGGCTAACAAATTTCACATTTTTAATAATTTTATCGGAGGATTTTTTTTTTCTTTTTTTGTGACGGTACTATACTGTCGCAAAAAATAGAAAATTTTATTATTTTTATTGATTTTGTTACAGGTTTTACTTTTTGCAACGATACTAAACTGTTGCAAAAAATAGAAATTTTATTATTTTTTTAATACTATTTGCGACGACATTACACTGTCGCAAAAAAATAAAAAATTTCATATTTTTAATACTTTTTGCGACGGCACCACACCGTTGCAAAAAAAGACTATTAGTGACGGTATTTTTTACCGTCTCAAATAACATTTTTAGCGACAGTAAAATAGTGCCGTCGCAAAAAAGTCAAGAAATTTCAAACATTATTAGCGGCTGTACAGTGCCGTCGCAAAAGGCAAAAATGCCGTCACAAAAACATTAGCGACAGCGTGCCGTCGCAAAAACTCTTTTGCAACCCCTCCATTTGCGACCCCCTCTTACCGTCGCAAAAAGTTTTTGTGACGGCATTAGGAGTATTAGTGACGGTATTTACCGTCGCAAAAAGTCAATTTTTTTGTAGTGATATTTAAAACTATACTAAGGGTTTGTTTGGAAAGTGGGTTGACTTTTTTTTTTTAAAGTTATTTTAATCTAGGGTTCAAAGGTCTAGTTTGAGAAGGGCTTTTGGCTTTTTTTTGACTTTTTGTGAGAGAAATAATGTAATTATTATGGGTTGAATGTGATATTTTGTCTTATTTGACTAACAAATCTATTTTATTTTTTGTGACTATTTTAGCCAAAAAAACCCAACTTTTTTCGTCCCAAACGGAGCCCAAAAAGTTAAAAATTCCATATCTTTCTTACTTTTTGTACATTTTTTTTTGTAAAAAGTTAAAAAAATCATCCTAAACATACTAATTTCTTTTATGAAAAAATTAGTAAAACATCCAATATATTTTTTATTATTAGTTAAGGTCCCTCAATAATATTATTATTAGAGAAATTTCAACTCATTACTTTGTGAAATTTCTCTGTGCTGAAATTTCTCTATGAAAATGTTGAGGGACTCCAACTACTATGAAAATATTACATATCATTTATTTTATAAAACCTTAATATCAAGAATCTTAAAGAGTGATGCATTAATAAATCCCAAATTATGAACTTATACATTATTTAGTCCTAAAAGTTTTCTAGTAGACCGAAAGGTCCTATTATAAGGAAATTAACCATTGAGGGCATATACATTGCATTCGTGAGTGGTAACATTAATGCGCAAGCTTCGTCATTTAACACTCTGTCAAATTATGGAAATATGACATCAGTTCCCTATGGTTTTGCATTACTAGCTCCTTCTTGGGCGGTGGTGAGGTTGAATTGAATGAAAGATTTGGGGTTTTGAAAAGGAAACCTACATCTGAAAGTGGAAATGGCGGATATATTTGGGGCAAGGTAACCATACATTATGGGAACCCTAATTTGAATGTTCGTCAATGTTGTCGTAGTGACGTTCATTGTGAAGACATTGTGGTTAAAGCGAAAAGGCCTCGTAAACGTTGACGTCGGACTGCGATTACAATAAGATTTATTGCGAATTAGAAGTCGGTGTTACGTGGGGGGACGTCTAAAAATGACAGTAAGGAATGGAGGTATGAAATGTGTTATTGTCAATTTTTGATTTGTAAAGTTGTTTTGTTTGATAATGATTATAATAGTGTGTGGATGTAATGTTGTTGTTATTGTTCTAAATGTTGAAAAGAAGAGTGTTTTCGTATAATGGGAATAATGTTACTGTGTCTGAGTGGGCAACTGATTAGTGTTTGGATTTGTTGTTTTTGTTTGAAAGTGATAGTGTGCGTGTGTTTGTGAAATGTTAAGTTTGGTTTTATGACGATATTGGGTACGATATGGAGAATGATTATCATATGTAAATTTGTTTTTTTGATAATGTTTTGAAAGCCGTGTTAGGGCTTTTTTATTTGGATAACATTGTTGGTTGATTTGTTTGATTGCGTTTGTGCGGTTGCATCGTTGATGTTTAATAAGTATCGTTAATTATATGCCTATAGCAGATAATGGTTTTGAATGGGAAAATAGTTGGTGGGTATTTCAAACGTTCATTAGTCGACTACGTATTGAGGATGCTTATGATTTGAACATTTGTGTATGGTGTTGGGTGACAGTGTTTATTTGACTGTGTTGTTTTTGTTGTTAATGTTGCTTTTATTAGAATAAGTTGGTTGTTTAGTGTTTTTGGTAGTGTTCGTGGGGCTGAATTGTTGATATGCAATACGTATCGTTGAGGTTTTGTGCAGGGCACATAATGGTTTGAAATGGGAAAAATAGTTGTTGGGTATTTTAAACGTGCATTAGTCGAATACACATTCAAGATTCATGTGATTTGGACATATGGGTAAGGTGTTAGGGGACAATATTAATTTGACTATGTTGCTGTTGTTGCTGGTTATGGAAATGTGACATTGAAAAATGCATACAGTTGTTGTGCAACACTGTTCTGTTTGTGTTCTCAGTGGTGTTGGTTATTTTTGCAGGGGTGACTCTAAGGCAGTCGCCACGCAAGAAGTGTCGTGGCATGGCACATGACATGGGGGATTTTGATTTCACGTCGGAGCAGATGGTTGTCAAAAGACAAGGAAAGTTACCATTCAAGGGAAAAAAGCAAATTGTCCATATAATGAAGAAACTGGTAGTTGACACTACGTGTTTGATGTATAGTTCTAATATTAACGGGGTTATCAAAACCGTGATGGAAATCAATTTGAGAGAATCCCATGAACGACACCTGCGAAGAACACCGTTCTGGCCAATAATTAATTCCATCCACAAACACAACCTAACACCAAATACAGATAAAAAATGCAATGAGACAGTATTTCACATAATGCAGACATACAATCCTGAGGATGAAAAATTCTACATCGGGGGAAAAGGCATACCACTGCGTCGAAGTGATATCCGATTGGTTTTTGGCATTCAATGCGACGTGGATTAGCTTGATTTGGCGCATAGGTCGAGGCCACCGTCTGATTTTATTCAGTGTCGCTGCAACATTGTAGGGAGGATATCATGCAAAAAAATTAAGGAACTATTAGATGATGCAGTACAGGGCAATAGTCGTAATGACGAAGAAGTCGTCGCGAAGCTACTGTCGTTGTATATATGTGCGAAACTGTTTTTACCATGAGAGTCAATTGGGTGGGCGTTTGTCTGAGTTATTGACAAACTAAGTACGATATAGTTGTATGATTGGACGGCTGCAATACACATCGCGTTAATTACGTCACTGAACGAGTTTCATGAACGGCTGGAAAGGGTAACCGGATGTGTTGTTGTTTTACTCGTAAATTAATGTAACATGTTTGAAGTAGTATGAATTTTTCAGTTGATGACATGTTTGTATTAGTTTGTTAGTACGTAGTGTTCATGAATGTGTTTACAATGTACTATAGTTTTTTTTATGTGAACACACCAACCTCATTGAACTAGAACGACACAATGTGCTGCCACAGTTCCGCAGATGGAACATTGCAACTTTGACAACAAAAACGAAAAGGGTTAACTTGACTCGTAAAAGACAATTTCAGATATGACACGGTAGGATGATTTGTATGTTTTTATTGGATAACATGTGGTTGAGTGGGTAATGTATGTTTTTATTGGATAATACGTGGTTGGCTAAAGATGAGCAGAAACTGTTAGAGGTGATGTACACCTTTGAAGGGGACGGGTAACGTACACGTTTGACAGTTTTGTTGTTGTGGTTTATATGAAATTGTTTATTACATTTCAATTATACTTATGTGATTGTAATTTGGTGTAGAGCTGTGATACGGAGTACAGCAGATCATGGTGTGCTTGTTAATTTCAAAGACATTCAGGCACTTGTACAAGGGGGTGCGACTGCCGGGAATGTAAGTCTGATGTGATAGTGTCGATATCACAACATCACCACTTACATCATGGTTATGGGTTATGTAAAATTGATGCTTATGCGCATCATTGTGTATGACTAATATAGTTGGTAATGTGTGTAATTTGTGTTGTTAGGTTATTGACGCATATGCTGAAATTCTAAAATGTGCACAAAACCTATCAGCTTTTAATTCTGTTAATTTTAGCAAATTTTACTTCCATAGTAGTGTGTGTTCGGTACGTACATGTGATTATGAGTAGCGTTACATTGCTCTTTAACTTGTTTAATTTTTTTTTGTTTTTGATAATGGGGTAGTAAAGGTATGGGTTTTGATTGGTTTGTCAATGTTTGTAGAATATGATGAGGAATCCAAGCGTAACGTGTAAGAACCGTTACCTTAACGTACATGTGATAGTTACAGTTGGGTTCAGATATGTCCACTACCCTATATACCATGTGAATCATTGGATGACCATGGTGTACAATTCAGACTCAAGGACATGGACGCACTACAATTCAATCAAATCGCGTAGAGGCAGTAGGGATGATCATTTTGCTGAGGCGATGAAAGTGGTAAGTACAATTATATGTGAATTACATGTTTGTGTGGGATGTGCGTGCGTTACATATATGGTAACAGTGTGTGTTTAATGTGGCCAATTGGGTCATGTTACATAACACAGAAACAGTGGGTCGTGGATTACACAAAGCATGTGGCAAAAACTGTGCAACCGTTTGTGGGTGTGACATCAAAAAATATCGACGGACCCTTGGAGGCTATGGGTGATTGCCCTCAACAACACCTAGAATCGTATGTGAAAATATAAACCCCGGTTTAAATTTGTTCCATTATCTGTTTCGTA